GGGGAGGAAGGACGACACCTTCAGCTCCCTGGGATACACACTGGCGCTGGGGAGGAAGGACGGCACCTTCAACTCCCTGGGACACACACTGCCGCTGGGGAGGAAGGACGACACCTTCAGCTCCCTGTAGCTCACACTGCCGCTGGGGAGGAAGGACGGCACCTTCTGCTCCCTGGGACACACACTGCCGCTGGGGACCCTCGCAGGACCAGTCTAGGAGGTCCGCTACCTCGGGTACCGCTGGTTGCTGTTGGGAAAAAGGACCGGCTGTCTCTTCCCGGGCCTCATTGATGAGTCGCAGGTAATCCCACTCCAGGTTCCATTCATTGGTGACCAAATACTGTATGTCTGCCTCGAGGTCAATAGCACTAGGGAGCCCCAGCATGTCTTCTCGGTCGTAACACAGGTCCCAAAAACGAGAGTCAGTAGCTTTCCCAAAGTCCTCATCGTCAATATTGTCCCAAAATAGGCCAGGGCCAGCGTAACCTCCGCCTTCTGGGAACTCATACTCTGCCAACTCGGGGACACACTGAGCTGCGTACCACTGTATCGCCTGGTATGCGTCGTCGAGCGCCAGTTCTGCATATACTAAAATCTCGAGTCTAATCACCCACGCTTCTTCGGTCTTTTTCTTCAGGAGGTGCATCCGCTCTGCCATTCGAGCCAGGATTCGCTGCCTTCTGCTGTGGCGCCGATCCCCTCGCGAATACTGTACTTCCTCTAGGGCTTCGTCCCACAACTCAGCTCTGGCACTCTCTCTGTATCTCAACATGTCTTCCTCTGACACTGCTCCTGACCTCAGGGATACGTAACCGTACAATCTATCTTGCAACTTCTCCTCCATTTTCTGAGTTCCTTCGTAGATAGGGGCGCTGTACGGGTACTGGCGTTGCCCTCAAATTGTAACTCCAAACGAACTGTGTCTCTGAGCTGCTTTACCTCGCACTAGGATGCCATCCCACCGCTTGCCACCAATGTAACGGATCACCTGGCACCCCGACTGGGTACCTCCGTTAAAGGATGCTCCTAGCGCTTCCTGAGGACTCCAAGCACTGCAGCAGACACCACAACCACCGAACCGGAGAAGCATATGAATCCTCTCAAGCATATGAATGCTGTAGACAGTTGAATAGGAACCATACGAATAGGTTTACTCTCCTAGCAGTCAAACTGGAACAGCATACAATAAATCCTTCCCCCAATAATGAGACGACACTTCACTTTGAGGGTTAAAACAGGAACTCCCTGTACTGTCACATACAGTCTCTTTTATTCCCAATCCACAAACATAGTACAGCCCACAGGGCGTTACAAAACAACCAATCAATCCGTACAATACACCCAGACACTCCCACACAAAATCCTCCCCTCTGCAGGTGATATGATTACTGAACACAATGGGTAATCTCATTATCACCGGCAGAGGAATACAGTTTTTACACAATATTTATAACTTCTAAAATATACATGTCACAAACATAAAACATACATTTTCATAATCAATCCATTCAGGGGAACAACATATTAAAAAATGGCACGAATCAGACCAGGGGTTCAAAAGTTAAGGGAAAGTCCTTTGTGACTAAATGAAGCATGGCTTTCTGGCCCAAACCAGTTTCAGAGTCTTCTATCCTGGAGAGTAATTCAATTATCTCCCAGGACAGACACAAGACTCCATTAAGCACATGGTTGCAAAAAGACACAAAACACTTTAAAATACATAAAGTCACATTTACACATAACACACAGACATTTCACATATCCCCAGATAGCTGGGATCTGAGTGCACATTATTAGATGAATGGCACTCAGATCACACAAATAAGCCTTTCTGCAGGGGAAATAAACGGTTTAACCTGCAGGGCCATAGTCCAAAGGGAGCAGGCGAGCAACCAGGCTTCTCCAGTTCACAGTGGCGAGGTTGGTTTCGCCACACACCTCCATTAAGGAACGCCATTATCTATAACTCACATATCAACCAGGTAGTGGGATGCTACACTCAAACGCATTGTTACACCAGAGCTGTGTAGGAGGTCCGATAGCCCCCAGTGTATATCTCGAGGTATAGAGCCATAGGCTTCACAGCACAGGGTGAGCGCTCAAATATGATTTTATAATAGTCAAAAGGACAAAATAAAGATATGTTTCAAAGCCTTATAAAAGCTCCACCTCCTCTGATATAGTTAATGATGTGAACATGTCTGTGTTGTCATGCTGGCAATGCGTGTGCATGTTCTAGCATCACATGTGGCGAAAGGACCAACGGCTGTCCTATTGGAGGTATAAAATCCCTTTTTTTGGTTTTGTACTGTGCACTGTTCTTGTTTGTCTTTTTATTTTATTTTTTTTTAAAGAAAATAATTTCTAAGTAGAAATTACATTAACATAGCAATTGTGGTGATATTAAACAATTTTACGTTTTGTAGCAGACACTTCTTTTCAATTTTATAACGCTTAATAAATAACAAAGAAAAAAGGGGGGTGGGCAGATATCTAAATGGTGTATAGAGAATCCATAGGAAGCAGGAAAAACTAGGGGGATCTAATTATTTATAAGAACAAAAATGCTTATAAAGTGGAGCGCTGAGTAGATTTATCGGATTAAGAAAAAGGTTTATAAAATAGGAGACCTAACAACCTATTAAAATATATAACACACAATAATAAACAGGTTATACCCTTAAACTCTAACTGCAGTCTCTGTTACTGCAGTAATATAAATGAGCCTATCTCTCCTGGATAGTCAAACAGTATTATACCATAAATGACAATTAGAACAAAAGTCAATAGCAGATCTTATATAATGAATGCAACAGACTAAATAATAAAGTCCAATATTAGTCTGTGCAAGTCTTCTTTGTCCCAGGTATTTTCTTGGATAGTAGCACTCCACGATAAAGGTGAATATGTGGAAAAGATACAGAGAAAAATGAATTAGTGACTCTCTGTATTAATACAATACATGAGAAGCAATCCAGATTAGTTAAAAATAAAACTTGCTTTATTAGAGTCTTCGCTCTCAGCTAAAATCAGTATATAAAAGCTCAGATAAAAAATGTTCAAATAAAATAATACTAACCAGACTTCATTAAAATGTATCTATAAGCTGATATACAAAGTGCATATTAGGTGCAGACCTTGTATTGCTCACGGCGTCCCGGATCAGCAGCTTAGATGTTCAGTAATCGGCGATCAGTCCTCGCAAACGCGTTTCTCCGTCAAAACTCAATGGGTACGGACTGTCTGACAGTTGCCGCTTATATAGCGGTTGATTTCCCTCAATTTTCACATATCAGTAAACATGCATTTTAAATCATTTTACATACACAGTATTTAATGTTGCTACATTGTTACAATATTGGCAAATATTCTTGAGTTCTCATTCTTAATCTCAAATATTATGTTACACTTCTTGTTAACATTTGTAACCATAGTTGCTCCCGCTGGATATCTTGTTTAATTAATGTATTACGGATTTATAAGAACAACCTCTATGTGGCCCTAACTAACTCTGAGCCTATTCCTCACCTTACCTAAAAGCTCTCCTTACCCTAATCCTGCCTTTATCTCTGTGATAAAAAGATTCCCTACTCCTCTCCGTATCAAAGCCCTACCTCCTTACCCTATCTGACCCTCTCTGTGTCCCCATCCTTCTCTAATCTGTCCATTAAAAAAGAAATGGAAGGAAAGAAAGGGAGAAGCCCAAAATTAGTTCTAGTCTTCTACTTACTACCTAACTTGGATCACCATGAACAATCTTAAGTTTTCACAAATATACAGAAAGATCTTTCATAAAATAAAAACAAAAAGGCCCAGTCTCTCCCCTCCCATCCCACCTTGGTCACCCCAACCCATATCTGAATGCTATGTACCTTCCCTCCAGGGTATGTGGAAAAAAAAGAGGAATATGATACACAAAAAAGTAGGTATTTCACCTGCCCAAATCTGCCTTATAACTCTCTTGATCCGAGGAATCGGAACCAGTAAGGAATCTCTCCCAAGGTTACCATCTCTTAATATGGTCTCCTACTCTATTTTCCCTAGAAGCTAATTGTTCATTCCGTCTGATATTATTAACTCGGAAGCCATTCTTTCAGTGGTGGAGTTATCTTTCTTTTCCAATAAGCCGGGATCAATTATTTTGCAGCATTAATTAGTCTTATCTCAAGAGAAACAACAAATCCAGTTCTTAACAATATGAAACAATTTGTTTCCATCATATTATTAGAGAGTGCATTTGTTTGTATCATCGGATTTTCTGACTTGGCTTGTGTACGACTTTTCTTCTCTCTGTATCCCTTGATCTCTGGCTTGTCTTATTGCACTTTGTCTAATTCTGTGTCCAAGACCTCAGCTTGCCTTATACTATTCTACATAACGTTAAGTCCGGCCACTCTAAGGACCGGTAGTACGCTTTGATATTATTAAAAGTTTGTTTAGTTTGCCTGTTAACTTAAGTGCTGCGTGTTGGGTCTTAGTACATCCTGACACACCTGCCTAGTGCCAATAATCTCTACATTTCTAAACACATCTGTTGTAGTTGAAACACTTATTACTGTGTATTTTATTGCCATGTAATTCTGTTATATATTTGTACACTATTAATTTGCAGCTCCTAGAAAAGAGAGACAGATGTATAAGAGTCCAAAATAGGGACTGTCCTTCAATAATAGGGACATTTGGAAATGATGTAGTTTTATTTGAGTAATTAGGGACATTATGAACTTGCAGTTTTACTCATAAATTTTATTTATGATTTGTTGCCTTTAGAGTCTGCTTTCCTTCCTGTTGCCTGGTCACACTCGTCTGAGAAATCAAATAAACGAGGTTCTAGATTTGGAATTAATTAAGCAAGAAGCGGAGAATGGAGCTTTAAACATCCCTAGGTTAGCTGAATTTACCATCGGGATGATGGGTACATTATGTGCTCCAGCTCGGGATGAGGAGGTCAGGAAACTTAAAGACATCAAAGATGCCATCCCTTTGTTCAGGTATTAACCGTTGTCGTCTAAAATAATAAAATAATTTCACAAGGGATCTAATACTTTTGGCATGTAATTTCTGTAAGGTATGTTTATTTATTTTTTTTTAATACTTTGGCCATGATTGTAATAGTTGGATAAGCTTTGGTCAACGTAGTAAAATATAAAAAATATATATATAAAAAATATCAATATATAAAAAATATCAAATTATTACAAAAACAAACATCCCTGATAAATCGTGGCCTTTTTTCTCTAATATAAAAATGTGTATATTACTGGATTTCTCCATTACCACGGACCGTACCTGTCCACTAAGGTTGAGGAGTGCTAGGCTCTTTCTATTTAAATATAATGAAATCATAAACTGTAACAAAATAACTTTAATATATGTCAAAGAGAATGTTCGATAGAAAGACAAAAATGGAACAATATGAGTGGTTAAAGTGGGAGAGAACACCGGTAGTTTAAAAATCTTGTTATAGGAGAAAAAATTTGCCTCATGAATTGTAGAATTCCAGTTATTATTTCATCACCCCTCTAGAATACATGTTCCAAACTTCCTTACTTAATACTTAGTAACACTAGGAAAATGATTGATTGAAAAGCCAATTTATCTTATGGTTATAACCATAAATGACCACCAGAGGGAGCTCTTTGAGGCTTTCTCAGGCTTTTGTGATAACGATATGTATTGAATTACCAGGCCTATTACAATTTAATTAGCTACTCCTGTAATAATATGTCACTCTTGGATGTGACAATTATTTCTTTGGTTTATTATACTCTGCGACACAATTTTGCGACTATAGCATCTCTTTATATTAGTCCATCGATTAACTCCATATTTCTCTAGTCTTGAATGCCTAAATGTATTTGTATTGCATTAATTGGAAATGTAAATGTTTTGTAATTTGTGTTAGATTTCAAACATTGGTAATCTTGGATTTTTATACAGCCTAGACCTGCCTTTCAATGAAACGTGGCATAAGATTAATTTGCTTGATGTAAGTCATACATATTGTTTTAATCCTTACGGACATGATGAGTTAATGAATGATGGCTTTTTCTGTTGTTTAGGGCAATATTTTCAGTTTTGGACCTGATGAAACTCGACATGGCAAACTTTGCCATAAGCAGTATTCGGCCACATTTGATGCAACAATCCGTGGACTATGAGCAGAAAAAGTTCCAGGAATTCTTTGATAAAAATACAAGTAAAAATACAATTTCTATATTTGAGAAATATATATATATATATATATATATATATATATATATATATATATATATATATATATTACATCTTTTATTTTATTTTAGTGATTGTTTTCATGATTTGTTAAATGGAAAGTATGTATTAATATATGTAAGCCATTACCAATATTAATGCTGCAAAATGATTCAACAAGGGCCAGATTGTAAGTAAACAGTGAGGCATTGATTCTGTAATTGATATGAAAACTCTTATTTTATGAAAGGAACAAATTGTGGATTTCTTGTCTGCAGCCTTTGCAAGCCCTCCCCTTCTAACCCCTCCCAGACTTTCTGTGGCTGTCCAATCACAGACTTCCCAATGCAGCTCAATGAGAAGCCTGGGCAATTGCTGCCTCTTCAGTTTAGTGCAAATAAGCTAACCAAACCAGGAAGTAACGTTTCCTGTTGTCTGCTTGAAAAGCCAGAGGGGTGTAGCCAATATAATTTATAAAAGTGTCCATTTCTATTGAAACCTGCACTTTTCCAGAAAATGAAAAAAATATGACACTCTTCACACATAGTGTTTCAGCAAGCTAAAGTGCTTTAGGGGTCTGGAGTCTCCCTTTAAGTTCAACATATTGTTTTCACATATTACACCAACATGCAAACAAGTGATTCTTGCCACAAAGGACAAGCTTAATGGATGATCACTTTAAATATTTTCTTATTAAAGGAACATGACACACAACTGATTATTTTCTAAGCTTTATTAAATCACTGATCTATAGAGAGTGCGTGCATTTCTTTTTAGTTGAACTACAATTCTCATGAGCTATAAAAAAAGTATTTTATCAATAGTTCAAATATAACATGAATTTATCTAAATCTCTTTAGTTTAGAAAAACAGCCTCAGAGGGAATATGATGGAATTATGCAAATTATATTCGGGGCCAATACAAACTGTTGTGTGGAAATCTGTTCATAAACAGGACTTTACATAGGACACATGGTCATGCATTTAGACTGGAAGAAAGGACATTTAGTCTAAGGCAAAGGATACGTTGTTTTTTCAGTAAGAACAATACAGATATGGAATTCTCTGCCTGAAGAGTTGGTTTTATCTGTATAGATGTTTAAACAGCAAATGGATGCATAATTGCAAAAACATGATATTCAGGGATATAATTTTTAAACTGTAGGGTAATAGCTTCTTGATCCAAGGAGAGATCTGACTGCCATTCTGGGGCCAAGATGGAATTTACCCCCAGTTTGTTGCAAAATTGTAAATGCTTCAAACTTTTTTTTTTTGCCTTCTGTTGGATCAACGGCAAAAGCAGACATGAGGAAGGCTGAACCTGATGGACGCATGTCTCTTTTCAGCTATGTAACTATGTGATTTATTTCTTGTGTAATTTTTTGCTGATAAAAAGAAATGTTCTCTCCTGCTGTAGGTTCTCTGGAATTTGTTAGTCAGTGGCTACAAGAAGCAGCTGATGACCTGATGGCTTTGCACGCAGTGGAGACTACCAATATTGCTGCCGAAGCGACAACTGGATCAATATCTCTAGTCTCGGTTCTGAATCATGCCTACATGAAACTGCTTGCATGGAACCACCTGCAAAAGCCATTCCCAGAGGTAAGGATGTTTAAATTGCAAAATGAATCACTGCTTGTTTTATGTGCATGTGTGTAATTGATGGTGGCGATAAGGGACTGACAAATGAAATAGTTACGAACTGCCTTACCTAACAGGTGTTTCGATAACATAACAGAGTGTAATATGGTACAATGCTACATACATCGACTGCTGTTCTAATCCTGCATCCATGCTTGATGTTCATTAACTTGGATTAAGCTGATTCTGCATCTGGTTAATTATATTCACAAACCTGGGTTCAAGCTGATCGTGAGAAATAAATTTTGGGGCCCCTGACACAGTTCAAAGTGTGGGCCCCCCCGAGGGCCCATTCTGAGTCCACCCACAAGGATGGCCTGTGTGGTGTGTAAAATGAATACAGATTGCACATTTGTATTTTTGTGTGTAGTTTTGTGTGTTTTAGATAAAGTGTGTGTTTGTGTTGTGGTTTTAGTGTGTGTATGGTGGATGCAGTGTGTGTTTGTGTTGTGGTTTTAGTGTGTGTATGGTGGATGCAGTGTGTGTTTGTGTTGTGGTTTTAGTGTGTGTATGGTGGATGCAGTGTGTGTTTGTGTTGTGGTTTTAGTGTGTGTATGCAGTGTGTGTGGATGCAGTGTGTGTTGTGGTTTTAGTGTGTGTAAATGTGGGGGCTGTATGTAAAATAGGGGGCTGCATTGAGGGGGTAGGGGGTGGGAGGGGAGCCTTTTTGGTGGTATTTTATTTCCCCCTCCTTGCTTCTTACCTGACCAGTGAGCGGGGAGATCGCATCCCTGGTGGTCTGGTGGAGGGTGCCAGCCACTTTAGAATGTAGACGGGGACCAGCCAGCACATCTTAACTTTCCATCACCTCCTGCCTGTAACTCTCGCAAACTGTGCCGGTTTGCCGCGCGGAGCGTTGCCATGGTAACCCGTGGCAACGCTCTGCCGGCCGCGGAGCTCGTGAGACTTACAGGCAGGAGCAGCTGGAGAGTTAAGATGTGCTGGCTGGTCCCAGTCTACATTCTACAGGTAGCCGGGGCCCGCAGGTGAACATATAGATAGCGATAATCGCTATCTATCTGTGCACAAATGGAACGTGGGGCCCAGGACTCCCAGAGCAGTCCGGGCCCCCCAGGACCACCGGGCCCATGACAACTTTCTGAAGTGGACACATAGTCTGTGAGTGCCATGCACACAACGGCACTCGTCCTCGGCTATCCCCTACAGTCCTGGGGTCTGGCCGACTTTCTCTACTCCCTGTACCTCCCACTTCCACTGGGAAGCGAGACTGGTTCACTGCTGCTGAGGAGAGAAGGATCCCACCGCTGCCACCAGATATGGCGGTATACCCTCTCGAGGATGGGTTACAACCGCCTGTGGTTGCCCCTTCCCAGTTGTGCCCAGCCCTAGAGTGATTAGAGCTGCTCGCCTGTGATTATAGTCGCTTGCAGGAGGGCAATCATGGTATCACCCAAACACTAGTCAAGACTTAGTGAAGGGTGAAATAGAACTGTTTATTGCAGGCAAGATACACAGTAGTTATGCACAGACCCCCCCAGGGGTTCTCCATTGACAGCAGTAAAAATCATAAGCCCACCCTGGCGTTGCTGTGTCTGGGAGATAATTAGCCAAACACACAAAAAACAAAATACACACCATACAGTAACTCTTCCACGAATAGCTCCTGGTCCCAGCTATGATCCCTGCAAATAGCGGAGCAATTGGATGTACAGAACCCAAGAAATCGTCATATAAAGTCTGGGCTTGAGGCTCTGTACATGCCCAAAAACAGTTACAGAGAATTACTTGGTTTAGGCCTGTAGATTCAAACTTCATGCCTAAACCACGCAAAACTATTTGCACCAATCGGTGCTCATGGAAGGGGGGATGTTTTGCTGGCCAATCAGGAGAAAGGGCGCAAAACCAGTTTAAATGGCAACCCTTCTCCTATTGGCCGGCACGGACTTCCAGGCGGCCAATGGTACTCTGCGACTCACCGTTACATGTAGGTAGCACGGGAGAGAGCACTTGTGGCGGTATTCAGTGACTGAAAGGCCGAACAGGATTGGGGACAACCCTGTCTAGTGCCATTATATATTCTGAAGGGAGCTGTATCCGATCCCAGGAGTTGAATCTGTGCCTGATTAGAGTACAAAGCTCCGACTGTTTTTTTTTTTGTTTGTTTGTTTTTTATCCAGGGTTTGGGAAGCCCTTGTGTTTGAGGAGATCAAACAGATCTGGCCATGCCACCCTATCAAATGCCTTCTCTGCATCCAGAGACCGGAGCAGAGAAGGAATTTTTCCGATCTCAGCATACCATGCCAGTTCAACTACTCTGTGTGTGTTTTTGTATAGTTGTCTACATGGCATAAATCTCACTTGATCAGGATGCATCAATCTTAGAACCACTAAGGAGAAGCCTTCAGCAAGAATCTTGGCTAAAATCTTGGTATCTACATTTATTAATGAAATGGGTCTATTATTGGATGACTGAGTTCACCAAGGGGAACTAAATCCTGGACTTATTTTATGCCAGAAAAGCTTAGGGACGTCAATCCCACCTAGGTCTTAAATGGCCATAGGTTTGTATGATGAATCTGACAAAATTGCAGCTTAGGAAAAGAGGGTACCTAAGCTTGGAGAACTCAGGGGAGGGATAGATGTCTGAAGAATTAGGAAGGCAGCCTGGCTCACTAGTATTAATCCCCAAGGTTCCTCCGTGGAATGCGCCTATACCCCCAGCTGGGTGAGACCCATCTAAAGCCCCCTAGTAAAGATCCATGGAAGGTCCAAGGAGATAGCCCTTCATCTAACCGACAGCCGAGTAAGATGGTAGCATATAAACCGTGCAGTATACTAATGAACAGAATGCAACAGTCGAATAGCATTGTAAATATGACATGTGCGCCATAGGATGAGTAAAAATAATGGAAAGAGTATAATAAAGCAACAAAAATATTAAGTAAGAATAGTTGTTTTTGGTTTTTTCCTTTTGTATTCGTTCATTACTTCTCTCTCTCTCTCGGCTGTATTTGTGAAATTTCCTTCTGATGTTGTACAATATGAAAGGTATAAAGGTCTAATCGAAAGCTCAGAATGTAGTAAAATTATTCTCCCATCTCAAGGCACCATACCGTAACCCAACGTAGCTCAGCCGTAATCCCCTTCCCAACCCTATTGCTCCACAGGGCAGAAAGGGGGATGACAAAGGCAGACCAATACACCTCTTCCCCTGTAATAAACCAATATCAGGCCACTAACATTAAACAGTGGAAATGGGAAATCATTAGTTAGGAGAGAACATTAAACAGTCAATATCACCCATGTTCCTATAGCAGGATACAATGTATATTGTGAAAATCTGCTGATCAGAAACTCTTCATTAGATGAACAAGAGACCTGATGCAAAATCCCAACAAAAAATAGATGTGTAACTCTCCTTCTGGGCACAAACATATATCCATTTGGTAAGACCCTATAGAGTCACAACAAAACAAGAGTAGTAAGTGTATATATAACACATTGCTGGAACTTCACTTCCAATGGAAAAAAACAAAACAACGGTAGGCCCTAAAAGCCCTCTCGGTACAAAGCACTGCCCCCATAAAATTGCTTGGAGACTCTTCAAGGGTGAGAACAAACGGTAGAGACGTTTTTCATCAGTCAAGGGGCTCCTACCTCGTACCATTCCCTGGGCAATGAGACCTAGGGATCCTAATGTAGAAATAGGGATGCTATCCTCTCTGGCATCTCCAGGCCAAGAGACTGATAAAATCTCACCATGTCTGTGGTGGGATTAAGAACGTTGGTACGGCCGTTCCTGAAGGCCAGTAACTTGAATGGGTGACCCCATGCAAAAAGGTTTTCTTTTAATCATTATTGATCCTAAGTTGGTTTTTGTTGTGTTTTTGCAGACTTTGTTAATGGACCAAAGTCGTTTCCAGGAAATGCAGCAGGAGCTGGTTCAGCTAACCCGCCAAGCAACCTTGCTATTGATAATTCATAACTCTGCAGGTCCTGCTTTGTTTGGGCTTCCTGGGTTTATAGAGCGAATGAAGTCAATCATCAGAGTCTTACTAGAGGGAGTGGACGCACCGTAAGTAAACTCAACACAAATGTTTCCATGCTGCAACTGTATGAAAATATAATAAAGGAAAGCAACAAGATATTTTGCGCCCTGCCCAAGTTTCTATTCATTCTTTAACTAGAATAAAAAATTATGCTTTTCTGATGTCTCCAATTTAAAGGTTTGGGAGTGTAATGGTACTTACCCAGTCCTTGTACCTGGGTAAGTACTGTATGATCGGGTGCACGGTCCATACAGTATTGAGAATGCTGCTCGCGTCATGAGCACGTTCTCACTGTCGGCTCCCATTGGCCCACGTCATTCTGGCAGCCCCCTTCACACGTATTTTAGGGTCTCAGGCATGACGTGGACCAATCAAATGAAACCCTATAGTAGTTAAACTTAACTGGCCCTATATACTGTGCCCCATTGTGATTTCTGTTTCCGGTACCTTTTAGTGCGTTCACAGAAGTATTGCATTCTGGTATTGACCTTGGTTTTGTTCCTGACTCTGAGTTTATCAGTTTTTTTTTTAAATTCTTCATTTTGGTCGTGCAGATATTGAACAAGTAGATTTGCACTGCCACAACAGCTGGTGCAAACAGATTTGTACTCACATGGTAACAGTCGTAGTGCATCAAAAACATTGCACTTTTTCTTTTTTTATATATATATATATGAATAAACAGGATTATATCATAAGCTTAGTAAAAACAAAGGGAAACATCGGCCTGGCTCACAGATTGCCATCACAATTTTAGTTAAAGTAGGAATAATGGTCAGGCTCAAAGCATCACATTTTGAAATTGAACTGGCTTAGTACCTGACCGCACATGCTTTTATGATCAATATAGTAAAAAAAGTCTCATCATGCATGTTTAAAACTAAATAGGAGATAGTTGTAGAGGAGTTAACTAACACCCCGTGTAACACCCCGGCCAACTCCACAACTAAAAGCTAAGCTAATGTCCAGAACATGAGAAAACATAGGTTGAGGAACATAAAAACAAATTCAAACAATGCTCTCAAGTAAAGTGGAAGGAGATAAGCAACAATAAAAGCCAAGTTTGTACTCGGTCAAAATAAATCTCCACCAGACGCCATCTTGGCTAAATATTACGCAGAGATTACGCAGAATATTCAGCACACTACTCGGCCTATGCCTGCCATGGGCAGGGCACAGGCACTCAGCATGGTGCAGTTCAGCAAGCATGGTAACATAGGTGGGCGTTGGTGTTGTATTCGGACGGTAGGGAAGTTCCCTTGCTGTCTCTTGCTTTCCCCTCCTCGTCCCCTCCAGACCTTCCTCTGTCGGCGCGCTGAAACCACGGGCCGGTTCTGGGGCTGTCGGCACATATTCTCAGGTGAGTGAGCTTGTGGCATTTGTGGAGCAGACATTTGTTGCCTGAGTCTCCGCTTCCTCCAGAACTCTTCAAATATAATTCAAAGTTTGGACAGAGCCCTGGACATTGCGACATGGTAATGAAGAGGGCACACAGCATTCACCATTTTAAACGTACTGCTGGTGATGGCTTTGCTGATTGTGACATTACCGCCCGACCCTGGAGGATTTGGTGAGCCATCAGGGTGTGGATCGGGATCACCCCCGCCGGTCCAAAGTGGTTCAGGTGGTGCCCGGGTCGGGAGATCGGCCACATCTGCCTCCCACAGCACTCGCAAGGCCTCTCTCCTAGCGGCTAAAAATTCCATCAGGACAGCTTGAAATGACCGCTGGAAGCACCCCCAACCGGTCAGTCAACACAGAGTGTGAATGTCTCTCAGCCAGCCTCAGTCCAAAAGCATAGGTAACTGGATTAAAATCACAGGATTGCAGGGAGCTCTCTGAAAGCACATCCAGTCTCCATTAGTCCACTAGTCTGTCCTTTGCAAGTTATATTGTAGAGGCTTCAAAGATGAGTACCCATGACATATTCTTGGCCCCTGATTTTTTTTTTTTTCCCAAAAGAATCAGTGAAAAATATTGTGTGTGTCAGCAGTGGTACGGACACAGATTCTGCAGTTGACTTGAATGGAAGTTATCCTAATGACCATGATGTAATGCAATGCAGTTTTCTCTTCCTCCTGTAATTCACTTACCAGTGGAAACGGATGCTAAATCAGAGCCAAGCTGCCGCTTTTAAACCAGATCAGTTTAACCCCTTAAGGAAACATGACATGTGTGACATGTCATGATTCCCTTTTATTCCAGAAGTTTGGTCCTTAAGGGGTTAAAGTTATACGTTAAGGGACACTACAGGCACCAAAACATCTTTAGCTTAATGGAATAGTTATGGTGTATAGATCATGCTCCTGCTGTCTCATTGCTCTATTCTTGAGTTAAACCGCTTTTGTTTAGGCCGACCTAGTCATACCTCTCTGCATGTGATTTGCACAGCCTTCCCAAACACTTCCTGTAAAGAGTCATCTAATGTTTAAACTTCCTTTATTGCACATTCTGTTTAATATAGAATTTCTTATCTCCTGCTCTGTTGATAGCCTGCTAGACCACGCAGGAGCCTCCTGTGTGTTATTTAAGTTCAATTTACAGAGCAGGAGATAAAAACTTCTAATGCAAGTTAACATCTGATTGAAATTGAACCATTTTATTTAATGTAAGCTGTGTCAGTCATAGCCAGGGGGTGTGTAGCTAGCGCTGCATAAACCGAAACAAAAGTCATTCAACTTTTAAATGGCAGATAAACGAGCGAGTGAGCCTGCAGGGGCATAATCTATATACCAAATTAAAGCTGTTTTGGTGCCTTTAGTGGCCCATTAAGATTCCAGATGTTGGAAAATAGCACAGGTGCCTTTACTTGAACATTCTTATAGGTTTAATTTGATAAAGTGTTTCTTAATGTAGCAATGTATGTATCTCAAGCATTGTGAATATTTGTGGTTACCACTTTTACAATAATTTAAAACTTTGAAGATTTCTAGAAAAGGTATTCCATACAATAGTTTCTCAACCTGTAATATTTTTGCCATGTAGTATTCTTTGGAATGGCCATGGGTTGCTGTAGCTCATGTTTTATTTCAATTCGGAGTAGCCTTCTAGCCACAGTATTGGGAATATAGCCCTTTCTCCATACACTGGATGAAACCTTGTGTGGGTAAAACCAGTTCATCCTATATTGGTGAAACAAGCAGGTAAAAATAGAGGGAACAACAGCAGGGGGTGATCAACTGAAAAATAGAACAATGCCTCCCGGCACCACCAAGTCCGGGTTGCGAAACACTCATTCAAACATTGCAGTTTCTCTAGAATTGCAATATTTAACCCCTTAAGGACAGCGGGCGTGCTATGCCATCCTTAGGGACCCGGCTCTAAACGCCAGGGGGGGCGGCATAGCACGTCCCCGCCATCCTTTCTACTTACCCGGTCGTGGTGTGGGGACTCACCTGGCAGCACAGGGAGTCCCCCTCCATCCGTTTCCACCCCCCTGGGCCATGCGATCGCGAGGTCCTTGCAAGGATCTCGCGATCCCATGGACGGCAGCACTAAGTGCAAAACGGACAGCACCCAGACCACTTCAGTGAGCTGAAGTGGTCTGGGTCCCTACAGTGTCCCTTTAAAGAAATTGGAATGATATTACTGGAAAAAGTTTCAGCTGGTGTAATAAGTTAGAAAAGGTTGATAAACTCTGGTTCTGACCGCTAGGGTTATATTTATTTTTCAATATTGTGAGATGAAAAACCAATATATTCTTTTTCTGTAATGTGTATTTGTTATGAAGCATTAATGACCCTTTAAAAATGTATTTGTTTAAAAAAAACTCCCATCTCTTTTATTTGAGTTAGATCCATCAACACCAAGGAAGCTGTGGCTACACTTAGTGAGAAGATATGCGCAGAGGTGAACAGTACGCTCATTCAACATGGCTTTACTCCTTTTTCATCTGATAACTTGGAATCCTTCAAAGGGCAAATTCAGACAGCATTATCACCTTCTAATCAGATCTACCAATTAATAGGTAATAGCATGAATGATTTAGTTTAAAACACTGAAATATAATATGTGAGAGGATTGAGCATCTTAAGTACTTAGCAGAGCACACTTTTTTCTGTTATGACCTTCTGTAAATGAGAAATGGATAACCAGACAACAGCTTCTCATGAGCAATGGCCTCCAGTTCAGTAATATTCTTGGGTTTGTGTGCTACAGCCGCCGTCTTCAAATCCCACCAGAGATTTTCTATGGGGTACAAGTCAGGTGACTGTGATGGCCACTATAGAATTTCTTAAGACTTCAAATTCCACCAAGGCTTGGTTCCAAAGGAAGTATGCTTGGGGTCATTGTCTTGTTAAAAGGTCCTATGATGCCCAAACTTCAGCTTTCTCACAGACGGCATGACGGTTTTTCTTAGGATTTCCTGATACTTCAATGAATCCAGCTGGTCTTCCACACACTTCCAAGGCCAGAAGATGCAAAGCAGCTCCAGAGCATCAATGAGCCACCACCACAATTAACTGTAGGCATAGTGTTCTTTTCAGTGTATGCTTCATTGTCCTTCCTCCAGACATACCATTGGGCTGAAAAGTTACAGTTTTGTTTCATAGCTCCACAGAACAGAACGCCAGAACTTCTGTGGCTTATTTATATGATTGTTAAGCATATTGGAGTCGACTTTTTTCATGCTTTTAGGTCAGTAGTGGTGTATGTCTTGGAGTTCTGGCATGAAAATCTTCTGCGTTTAGTGCACTCCTTACTGTGCTCACTGAAACCTCAGTTGCTGTTGCCACCAAGTCTTGCAGTCACTCAAGGGTCTTTCTCAACCTGCTTTCTCAGAAATTTGGTTGCAGTCATTGATAGCTTCTTTTTTTTTTTTCTCAGTCTATGTAGTGTAACCACAGTCCCTTCAACTTTGAACGTGCCAACTATGTTTCCGACAATGTCTCTTGGAACATTCAGTGTTTTCGCTATCCTGTTCCTTGTTTGGGAAGGGCGATGATCTTTTCTCTTAACTTTGTGGACCATTCTTTTAACTTGGTCATGTTTCTAACATGCAGTTAAACGTGACACTCAACAAACCCCTAGCCAGTTCAGGTATTTCAAATGTTCCAGCTCAAGAACACCTGGGGCAACAAATGAAACCCTTGATTAGTTGCATAGCGTGTGCTTGAGACAACACCTGTTTTGCATATTTGTGCTGTTGTGAGGGATTATATTCAGGGGGTGATATAATTTTGAGACTGGGGAAGTCATTATAAGTTACATTTTCAGTTGAATTTGGGGAAACCTCTGGAAGTATTTATTGTGTTGAGCTATTTGAATTGCTTTTGCTTTAGTTGTTCATTGCAAACCGCTGAAAGTCTGTACATTTGTAAATAAACCTGATTTTCAATAGGGCTTGAATAATTTTGATTGCAACTGTAGATGTTTCCAAGTTTTGTAAACAAATCAAAGCAGAGTACAAGAAAACATGTGTAGGTGGGTCTCGGGTCTAGTTTTAGTTCACTAGTTTTACGTCAGAGAGAATCTGTCAGTTTCTATCAGACTGATACCACACAAAATTGCAGTCCAAATCCAAAATGCTGGTAAGATCCCTCTGCACAAGATACATCAACACCAAATGATGATCTCCGCCGTGGTGGATCTTATCATTGAACCGTGGCCAATAATTCTCTCTACGCACAGTGAACAGATAGTCTACATCTAGTTCACCTTAGGAAGACCATAGGTTTTTGCAAAGAACAAAAGAATATTGAGACAACTGCTGATGTATCTTGACATTTGGTTGGTCCCTGCTCATATCTCAGGAAGTAAAAGGTAGTGATAACAAGGCTAATGCGTTGATATGTATCTTCTGTTTGTTTTATTCTGTGTCTAACACTAATGCTCTCTGTTTTTCTGGTCCTCGTTTGGTAGAAAGTATCAGCCTTCTCCCCCCATATCTGGGCAGCCACTAATGACATATCGTTTATATTTTGGTTCCACAGAATCCAGGATCCAGAATTTTTTATTGAGTTACCTGTCGGCCAGTAACCAGAAATCTCTTCCTTTGACGCCAGGAGGTCTGGGCACAATTCAACAAGAAATTGAAAAAATAGCGGTGAAATTTGCACGCCTCGTTAATTACAACAAGACCGTGTTTAGCCCGTACTATGATTCACTCCTGAGCAAGATACTGAAAAAGTAACATTTCTAGCCTTGGGGTTTAAATCTCCAAACCGACTCATGAAATGTATGTAGATTGCCCACCACAAAATACTTTTGAGGGGTTTATTTTCTAAACTGTGTATTGTGACGTATTTACAACTGACTTACAAAATGTTGGTCAAATAGGATCGGATAGTTTTTTTTTTTTTTTTTCATATCTGCCTGTTTGAGAGATCCTGGTTGAATCTCACTGCTTAGAAAATAAACCGTATAGTTTTTGTGATGCTCTGTGGGCGCCTAACATGGGACAAAATGTGTGAATATTAAATCAATTGTTTTAGTGTAACACCAAAGCTTGTTAACCCTTTGAATACTGTTTTGGTGAGCTAGTGATGATCATCAATGTTTGGTCCTCAAAGGGTTAATAAAAACTGCATCAGTATTTACTCTCAAATTAGAATTTGTTTTGTTTTTTTAAAATCAATTTCTAGAATATAAGATTTTAAAACTATATTTTAAAACATTCATTTCCCCTATAGATTCCTTTATGAATGCCACCAAAAGAGGTTTAATAGAGACTGTGTAATATTTAACAAAAAAAACTGCACATTCCTGTTTATTTTTATTATGAATAAATCTGAAACATTGTATAGTATTCTTACAGTTTAATTTAACCGTATGAAGACTGGAGACGTGCATGCATTAGTGGGTCATAAATAATACCACCACCTAACAAGATTGCCACTGTTTGTTAAACCATTTCTGGGTAGTTACTCAATTACATATCATTGGCCAAGCGTTGTGTACATTATAACTCTGCTCCATCTAAAAAAAATAAACATTTTAATTCTGGTTTTCCCCCCCACATTTTTGAGAACTCACAAGTGAGAGCACAAATCATTTTCTGTTTAAGATCTCTTAGAATGTAAAGCTGTGCTTGCTTGTAGTTGGATGCAATACATTTTACTTACTATTGGCGTATGTTGTCAGAATGTGTGCATGTCAGCCTTTACATGTTAATTAGTTAAAATAAGTAGCCTAAATGTCAAGATGCAAATTAGGGCTCCAGTGGACAAACACATTCTACTGGTGTGATCAAACCAATAAGAAAAATAACCTAAATGTTAAGTTATCATTACTTATCAGAAATGTGGTTATCAGTGACTCATTTGCTGTAACAGCTTTTTATTCGCCATGCCATGTTTTCGTGGTCTTAAAACATACTTGTGTCATGGAAAGTCATGCCAGTTTACTTTATTGGAGGTTAATTTCTCGTTGACGCTGGGGAGATCTGCTTACTGTCTTCTGACAGTTGGGGCTACATTTAGTAACATTGAAATGACAGATAACCTGTAAGCCGTGATGAGGACTGAAGTCTGCTTTATGACTTGACTAAATGTGTTCTTTGCTGTGGAGAACATTGCCGTAAAGAGATTGTGCTGGCAACCCACAAGTCTATGCAGGGCATGGACCCTGTAGTTTTGAGGAATATTTGTCAAAATCAGAAGTAAATACATTTTCTTCAAAATGGTGTGTGTGTGTGTCAAAGAAAGTAAGAAATTGTTTGAATAAACAAAGTAAAAGTGCTGTCTAAAAGTCCTGTTTAATAACAGCAATAAAAGATTATGCAACTAGGTAGGACTGTTATGAGATAAAGAGATTAACCCAAACGATTGTCAAGAATGAGTTAAAGGGTCACTCTCTATGTATTGTGTAGGTTGTGGTGTAAAGAGGCTCCATGTCATGGTGACCCTGTACTTTAAGGCTTATAAATGCAGCAATTTGCAAAAATCACTTAGTATTATTAGACTGTCCTCACATTTTTGTAAATATTTTATTATATCTTTTCATGTGACACTACTTTACATTGTAGCAGAGTGTAATTTCTTCAGTGCTAAGTGTACAGCCTGTATAACAGTGTAAATTTGCTGTCCCCTCAAAATAACAACACACAGCCATTAATGTCTAAACCATTGGCAACAAAGGTGAGTACACGCCTAAGTGGAAATATCCAAATTGGATCAAATTAGCCATTTTCCTTCCCTGGTGTCATGTGACTCGTTAGTGTTCCAAGGTCTCAGGTGTGAATGGGGAGCAGGTGTGTTAAATTTGGTGTTATCGCTCTCTCACTCTCTTATACTGGTCACTGGAAGTTCAACATGGCACCTCGTGGCAAAGAACTCTCTGAGGATCTAAAAAAAATAATTGTTGCTCTCCATAAAGATGGCATAGGCCAGGGGTAGGCAACCTTTTAGCAGCACTGTGCCGATATAGGATTGTGATTTCCCGTAGCGTGCCTGTCCTATTTTTTTAAATTGAGGTGTGAATGCTGCCATATTCTGCTTGTGTTTTTTTTATACTGCAGTTGCTTTGTATCGTTGTATTTGTGCTATATGAGCTATTATATTGTATATGTTCAGGAGTACTTTTTTGGTATCATGTATGATACATATGAATGTGGACTGTGTATGGGGGCTGCTTGTGGAATTGTGTGTGTGTGTGTGGATGAATATGTCACATTTTGTGTTTGGTAGTGTGTGTGTATGTGTGGGGGCTGTTTGGGGTATTGCATGTGGGGTTGTGTGCATGTATGTGGATTGTTAGCGGGTTACGTTTGTTTGTGGGCTATTTGTATTATTTGTATGAGGGGAGGGTTATTGTGCATTTCAGTGTATATTTAGCAGTGTGTGTGGCTTCCCTGGGTTCCAGTGGGGACCAGGCTGGCCAGGTACAGGTCAAGGACAGGAGCTGCAACAGCAACTGCAGGCTGCTCTACTACAGTGTGGATTCCCATTCACAAGTGCTGGGAGGAAGTGATCTGAGATCACTTACTCTATGTGCTGCAATGCATAAATTGAGGATTGTCCTTCACCACCTTTTCGTATTAGCAGATATCTGAAGTTTCACTGGGACTCCTGATAGGCCAGTGCCTGTTTGGCTGTAGCAGCCTTGAGTGCCGTGCATGGCACTAGTGCCGTAGGTTGCCTACCCCTGGCCTAGGCTATAAGAAGATTGCCAAGTCCCTGAAACTGAGTTGCAGCATGGTGGGAAACACCATACAGCGGTTTCACAGGACAGGTTCCAATCAGAACAGGCCTCGCCATGGTCGACCAAAGAAGTTGAGTGCATGTGCTCAGCGTCCTATCCAGAGGTTGTCTTTGGGAAATAGACGTATAAGTGCTGCCTGCATTGCTGCAGAGAGTGAAGGGGTGGGGGATCAGCTGTTCAGTGCTCAGACGATACGCCGCACACTACATCAAATCGGTCTGCATGGCTGTCGTCCCAGAAGGAAGCCTCTTCTAAAGATGATGCACGGGAAAGCAGACTAAGGTCATGGATTAATGGAACCATGTCCTGTGGTCCGATGAGACCAACATATAAACTTATTTGGTTCAGATTGTGTCAAGCGTATGTGGCGGCAACCAGATGAGGAGTACAAAGACAAGTGTATCTTGCCTACAGTCAAGTATGGTGGTGGGAGTGTCATGGTGTGGGCTTGCATGAGTGCTGCTGGCACTGGGGGAGCTACAGTTCAATGAGGGAACCATGAAAGCCAACATGTACTGTGACATACTGAAGCAGAGCATGATCCCCTCCCTTCGGAGACTGGGCCGCATGATAACTACCCCCAACACACCTCCAAGACGACCACTGCCTTGCTAAAGAAGCTGAAGGTAAAGGTGATGGACTGGCCAAGCATGTCTCCAGACCTAATCCCTATTGAGCATCTGTGGGGCATCCTCAAACGGAAGGTGGGGGAGCACAAGGTCGCTAACATCCACCAGGTCCGTTATGTCATCTTGGAGGAGTGGAAGAGGACTCCAGTGGCAACCTGTGTAGCTCTGGTGAACTCCATGCCCATGACGGTAAAGACAGTGCGGGAAAATGATGGTGGCCACACAAAATTTTGACATTTCCACTTAGGGGTGTACTCACTTTCCTTGCCAACGCTTTAGACAATAGTTGTGTGTTGTTATTTTGAAGGGAAAGCAAATTAACACTGTTATACAAGCTGTACATTTGCTACTCTACATTGTAGCAGAGTGCCATGTCTTCAGTGCTGTCGCATGGAAAGATATCATGAAATATTTCCAAAAATGTGAGGGGTGTACTCACTTTTGTGACATATTGCATATCTTCAAAAGTCAGCAATGCAGCATAAAATGCTGGGGTGAGAGGTTTAGTGTATCAATATGTATGTAGTGAGGGCTTTAAACCCCCTCCCCCATCTCACCTGTCCAATCCTGCAAAAAGTTTTTTTGCTTAAATATCATCAAATGCAGCTCATGGAAAATCATTGCATTTGATGATTTCCTAGGAGAAGCATTTGATTGGATGTTCGCATGGCGGTTGCTGTGCATGACTATCATGTCTCACTCCTGGCATCTACTATTTAACCAGGTAAATGTTGTCAACAGGTGAGAAGTTCCTACGTTTTCAAATCTTCAACATAAAGCACAAAATCATATGACATTTTAAGTTATGTTGTCTAGCGTCCCCTCCACACTTACCTTTAAATATAAGATGTGCCTTCAAGCACTGATCTTCGGCTCTCCTTTTTTGTTCTGGTTACTGTGGAAGTATAAACGCAATCAATGAGTGGGGAGGGGCAACTTTTCACTGGCTGCCCGTTGCAAAAAAAAAGTCTAGAAATGCACATATATTTTCTTATAATGAGAGGCCAGTGATTGGCTGAAAGTGTCCACTGACGCACTCAGCCCATCACTGCCGCCATCTCGCTGTTTGCGCTAATGCTTCTGCATTAACTTGAGCAGAAGAGGCGCATTTGAGGACACAGTTTTATGTTGAACAGTTTATTTTGATATATTTTTACTTCATTAACAAAACCGGATAATTTCCTGGCCTGGAGTTGCCAGATTAGAATTCTATAAAAAAAAAAAAAAAATCAGAATGTTGTCTATTCTTAATTGGACACTCCACTGCCCAAATATAAAATAAAAAAAATCAGTGTTTAGTATATACCCCAAATAAAAACTTGCATGTATTTAATTGTTGTTTTTTTTTTCCATTGCAAGTATGTCTAAAATCGGCTTGCAAAACCTGCAGATCTCTTGTCTGCAGTCTTTAAAAGCCCTCCCTTTCTAACCCCGCCCATACTTTCTGTGGCTGTCCAATCACAGTCTTCCCAATGCAGCTCAATGAGAAGTATTTGCAAGACCGGCCCTTAATGATATTCATTACTTTCCTATTACTGTGTGCGGAATAATTCATCTACATATTTTTGGGACAATAAAGGTGAAATATTAAGAGCAAATCTGTCACAAAGTGGAACAATCAGCTGCAAAACTTACGATTTCTGTTTGTTAGAACCGTTCCACACTTTGAGAAAAACTGCTCTTTAACCCTCTGTGTACTTGCTTGAATAAAAATATTAAAAACCAAGAGAACATGCAGTTTGTGGGTTTATTTTGGACACAAGCTCTTTAATTCTTGAAAAAGCTTATAATACACGTGGGACCACCATGGATGGAAATATGAGAGTAGAATATTTTGTAACTTATATTAATGGTTTCTATATTAATGTATCCACTGGATAGGTACCAGAACAAAATGTATGAATAAAACAAATTAAATAAAGAAAACGAGTATGTATTCTTCCTTTCCTCCACACCACAGAATTGTTGGAAGGGTCTTGAGCTCTCAAATACTGGGTAATGAGAAGCTTGCTTCTCCAACCTGTCTTAAGAAAACCACCTAGTGCATGCACACTTCACCTGCTTTTATCTGAGTAAGTTGCCCTTAAAGGACCACTATAGTGCCATAAAAACACTTGTTTTCTTGGCACTATAGTGCCCTGAGGGTGCCCCCACCCTCAGGGACCCCCTCCCGCCAGGCTGGATGGAGAGGAAGGGGTTAAACTTACCTCTTTCTCCAGCACCGGGCGGGGAGCTCTCCTCCTCTTCGGCTGAATGCGCATGCACGGCAAGAGCTGCGCGTGCATTCAGCCAGTCAATAGGAAAGCATTCACAATGCTTTCCTATGGACGCTGGCGTCTTCTCACTGTGAAAATCAGATGCGCGGAAGCGCCTCTAGTGGCTGTCAATGAGACCGCCACAAGAGGCTGGATTAACCCTAATATAAACATAGCAGTTTCTCTGAAACTATGTTTATAGAAAAAAGGGTTAACCCTAGCTGGACCTGGCACCCAGACCACTTCATTAAGCTGAAGTGGTCTGGGTGCCTAGAGTGGTCCTTTAAAGGAACACTTCAAACACCATTTCCACTACAGGCTGCTATAGTAGTTATAGTGTCAGAGAGCTATTGTACCCATTTGTAAGTAGTTAAATAATTTTAAGATGGTTTCACAATTTACCTGGGACTCCTGGGTATCTGTGTCGTATCTGGCCTACTCCTGCACACGTTGGACATCTCTTAAAGAACACATGGCTAGTCCAGTATTTCGCTCACAGCCTTAACTGATGCGTGTCCCTGCTTTGTTCCATGGAGCAAGCCAGCTTCTCCTGCAGACAACCAGAATGAGAATGTACAGTCTGATGCCCTGCGGAAATCAGGCAAGTTACACTAAAACAGTTTGGCTACTTACCATGCGATGACACCATAATTACTACAGTGCTGTAGTGGTTATGGTGCTTTGAGTAATTCTTTAATAAATCGATTTAGATTTTTTTTTTAAAACCACACACCATTTGATTTTGTGTACACCATTTGATTTTGTGTGCTCCATGATTTTTCCTTTTTACTTTGGCTGTGCCACAGGGGCATTTAATCACGTGTCTCACAGTTACAGCTATTCTATGTGTACAGCTATGGAATTTGCTAGCACTATATAAATAATATAATATGTGCAAGAATTTAAACTTGTGAGAGATGTTAAACTGTTCATGATGTGTCAGGGCGGCCACATGAAATGCACAGTTCATTATATCTAAATATAAAAGTAACTATTTACAAGGCTATCTGTTTCCACACAACTAATGCAGCCAATCTATGCCTCACCCTTTATTTATTATTTAAAATTACATATATATATGAGAATTATCCTAGCAGCTGCCAGCTACAGATCACACAGTGCTATTCTCTGGGCTGTAGTTGCTCGCATGTGCCATCTCTTCTTTCTGAATCACTTTCAAATAGGAAACAGAAACTGTGTTTTGAAATCTGGAACTCTAAACCAGCATGTCATGAATTCAGTACCTATGGGAGCAGTTACCCAATGCCCAAGCAATGTTACATTTGCATTGCATCATGTGCATCTAATGTCACATAAGCACAAATTCCGTTTCAATGTTGCCTCCTCTGTACTGAAATTTAAAAATAAGTTCCAGACTTTAAGCACATGGGGTTAGAGTCATATGAACGGTGTACTGTATGGCTGAAGTGAAAGTTTTAATAGGAAGTCTGTAAATGAACTTGAGAACTCAAAGTTTCAGATAGATCTCTACAATTCATCATATGACCCACCCATTGAAGCTGGGCAGTTTAGGGGCACTCCACTCCCACCATATATTGAACACTGACTCACTCTACAGCTCTTCCAACAGAACTCTCGACTGTCAGGATAACAAACTGTAACCGGTATGGCGTCATGCACCGTGCCATTACCTTGACATTTATATTCTGACACTTTGTGAAAATTCAGTTCTGATGAGCCAGTGTTTTCAGATGTTCTTGACACTAACATTTTCTTCAATTACACAAGAAATGGTTAGAAAAAGTTTAGTGTCACTATGTTGTTCTATTTACATTTTACTTGCAGTATATAAAAGGTATTGTGCGCAAAATGACTGTTAGACATAAATATTTCATTTAAAAATGTATACTTTCGAAGGTGTACACACCAAAAAGGCTTTTTGTAAGTTCATTCTTTAATTTTGAAACAAAATAACCAAGTTTTCTTTAAAAAAAAAAAGTTAAACATTGCTTTACGTTGACCCTAGGACAACAATACCGATAATCAAAAACATACCAGAAATCTTACACTTTCCACAGTATTAGAAAGCAAACCCCACATTCACATGGATTTTGACTATAGTGAGACTTCAAAGTGAATTTCATATTAAATGCCAAAGTAGCCAAACTGGAAGCCAGGCTAATAGATCATTTTTCCAGTTTGCCTATTTTTACCCTAAATTTGAAATTTACTTTGAATTCTCACTGTAGTGAATAACCCAGTCGCTTTTAGATTCAGCTTTAAATTCTGTTAAGATAGAAGTGGGAGTATTTGCTATTTAAACATATCGATCTGCGTGAAAGGTAAAACGTGTATGTTATAAGATGAGGTTTATTCAAGTTGAGAATGATGGAGAACCGACAAGAGAAATGCAAATTTTACCCCAAACAGCCAAAATGAAAACATTCGCCAGCTTTGATGTTTCTAGGTCGCTATTTTTACTTAAAAATTAAAATTTACAATTACTTTGTTCCCTTAGATTTAGTGAATAATATGAAATGAGCTGTGGTGAGCTAACAGCTGGATGTAGGGAATAAAATAGGAGAGTTAGGAGCTATTTTGACCACAATTCTGCACATTAGTGATCATCTTATCACAACTCGTTCAGTAAATACACACCTAACAAACAAAATAAAACACGTTTGGCTGCTGTACAGACTCGTGAAGCACTGACAATGCTAACGAATTGCAAATGAACCGCTAACCTAGCTGTGACTAGATTAAATACCAATTTTGCCATTTGTGTGCAGGAAAAATCAAAAACAAGTCTAGCACAGAATTTGTGTGCAATGGTTGCATTTGCTTTACATTTACAGTGTCTTTTAAAAGTAGCAGCCTCTTTTGTAAAAACAAATACAAAGATGTTAACCCATTCAGAGCTGTGGAGTGCCCTGTGGACATTAAAAGGTCGCACTCGCAGTCTCAACTCTGTTTGCAGGAACAACTCTATTTGGGCCACAAATAAAAAATGAAAAATGAATGAATGACATTTCTTTTCGATACTCCTCTACCAATGAAATGAATTTTACAGGAATGACCATGTGGACAAGATAAGAATGACCTTGACATGAATATTAAACATAAAAAAAACAAACAATAATAAGCCACACAGTTTTAAAATAAAACTGTTAAACACCTGTACGCCTTCCAGTTGTATGTAAAACACAGAGAAAACAAGACCAAAGATTCACCAGGGAGACCAAATAGTTCTAGATTCAGTCCTTCATATTGAACAGTTTTCATGTTGCAGAATTGGAACCTTTGTTTTAAATCCGGTGTTTGCAGTGATTTCCTTTTTTCCCCCCAATAACCTTTTTTTTGAATTCTAGAGGCACCACAAGTACACATATTTGTCTCCCAAATGCTTGTAATAAAAAGTTTTGTGTTTTTTTTTCTTTTAAAGCAGTAGGATTAGGAGGCAAAATGATGGTTCTGTTAAAAGTTTGTTTGCACTTTCCTTACAAATCTTGATATTTCCTTCACCGGATCCTTTTCTGTTGCCGAGCTCTGTAGATGTCATGGACAGGAGGCACTACAGATCCCTTCTCCTCCTCCTCATCAGAATCTTCATTTGGTCTTTTTAGTGATTTATTAAGTATAGTGTTGGCTTCCACCGGTCCATTGCCTTCCGCAATTAGCTCTGCCTGACCCCCGGTTATGAGTCTCACAGCCTCTTCTGCAGCTACAGAACAAAATTAAATGGTGGATAAGTTTGTAACTTGTCAAAAAAGTATCTAATAGGGTTACTTAATGTGAATTCAAAGTAAATTTGAAATTTAAGGCCAAAGTAGCTGAAATGGAAGAATAGCCGATTTTGAGAATTTTAACCAGTTTGGGTTTTTCTTTTCCTTAAATTTTACATTCATTTTGAATTCTCACTAAATGTATCTAGGACAGGGTAGTATAGACGTTGGGAATAAAGGTATATATTCTTAACACTATAGTGTTACTTTAATCAACAACATCTCTAGATACTTACTATCTGGAATTTTGCACCTTCTGAAAACCTCCATTAGTTCATCCACCTGCACAAAGGGACCCTGTGAAGATAAATCATCGCTGTCACATATATAATCATATAAGTGGTGATTTCTTAACCAGGCTATTAATGGAAAGGAAGCCATTATCATATAAAACATTAACAATTCTTCTCTCTGTTCAAGATACTGGCAGCACTGAGCATCGAGGGGAATTATCGATCCATCTATTCTTTGTATTCGCATACACAAGTCATACCATCATGAGTACATGTGATGGTTATAGGAGGAATACGTGACCAAGAATGGTTCATCTCTGTTATCTGAATGGTGCTTACATGAGGGAGTACAAAAGTGTGCAAAACTAAAAGAAGAAGCAAAAGCAAGTGCTCAGGTTGTGGATGAGAGGTGTACAAACAAGGAAATGTCCGAAGGGACAGTACCTATTTAACGTCTGGTACCGTGGCATAACTGAGGTAGGTTCAGGAACATTTGGGTGTAGTTGCCCTTTGTACTAGTGATCTAGTGCAGAGAGTAGAATATTTGTATCCAGAGCTACAGTCCTGTTCATCACCGTGTTACGTCACAAAAGACTGGAATACAGACATGTCTTCTTTCCTCTCCGAACACATGGCAAGGGTATCAAGGAGAAGACAATGGGGCTCAGCATGAAATATAACATGAACACAACCCCTTTTGCTGTGTTTTTTTGTTTCACTCCAATGGCCATTAATGGAAGCCCACCTGCCCACGTCAAAGCAAACCTCTTCTTCGTTGGTCCTACATTAACAATTCACCTTGCTTCCTTCAGTTTCAGGCAAAATAAATCTCTAATTAGACAGACAGGGGTATTTTTCTAAACCCCTATACATACTTATTAACCCTTAATAGGCAACACATGGGCTGGGCGGCAGCATTGTAAAATAGCTGGGGGGGTTTCAGCTGAGAAACACATCACAAAATTTAGAATGTGACCACAAGCATGGAAACATTTACTATGAACATGTTTGACATTAAAATCAACCCTCTTAAAGACTTCTTTTGCATAATGTATAACAAAGGGAATTCTCTATTAATGCATTCTAGTAATAATACTAATCTCAGCTCACACAGTAAATACGATAGATGACCGTTTTAGCCATATCTTGGTTACTTTCAAAAGCAGATAACACAAAGCTTAAAAGCAGGAACAGCCTCAGGTTTTGTTAAAGGTTTCTTTATTTGTGACATGGGGTATGATAAGGATGCATTGCAGGACAGAAGGCAGACAGGACAGTGCTAAAAAGGTACATACCTGGTAACAAATGGGAGGAGGCAGGAGTTTCATTAAAATAACAGCCGCTGGTGGGACTGGAAATACTCCTCCTGGGACTGGATGAAGTCCGGGAGCTAGAAAAGTCAGAAAACAAATTGTATTATTTCAAGTCGAAAAAAAAAAAATCACAACTGCTTTTATTCTGTTTAGGTTCTGTGAGTACCAGGAGCACTTCATTTTAACATCAGGTCATCTATTTGGCAATCAATAAAGCTTCCAATCGATCTGTTGGAGTCTGCAGACATCTAAATGCCAGCAGCCACATGTTCTAAAAGTGATAGAAATTATACAAAGTTTATAAAGATGCAAATGACAGCATTCCATTAAATATTTCGGGAGCCACTACAAAATAATAGATACATAACCCAATAAAAATGCTGTGTCGTTAATGGGCTTTATAACCAAAACATCCAATGTTTGTATACAGCTTCATATTCTACTTGTAGATCTAAAATTATGAACTTCTGCA